AAGGGTACAACATCAATAATCTCAACGTCCCGGCAAGGGAAAATAATCAATAAGCAACAATATCCCGGCAAGGGAACAATTTAAATACTCTTTCTCTTTCTTTCACTTTTATTTCATATCTCACTTTAACACTTGAGTCAATGCTCCAAAGGGGTTTAATCATTTCATATACTTTCACATATGTGATATAACTTGAGCCAATGCTCCTCGATGTTCATAGGTCACAATTTCCTTTCACAAGCTTTTCACAACAATTAGGAATCATCACCAAGGTAAGAGGAATACAACGAAACCAAGATATTCACAATTTAAAGACTCACGGTCATGCTAGACACCAACGTATAGATACTCGTCACCATGCCTATACGTCGTACTCGACAAGAAGCAATTAGCAAATAAGACTCAACTCCTAGTCCCTCAAGCTAGGGTTAGACCAAACACTTACCTTGTTGCTTTGAACTCAACTCAAGCCTCAACTATAGCTTTACCCAGTGATTCCACCTCCAATTCGCTCGTATCTAATCACAAATTATTTAATTACATTAATTCATGCTAAATGAATCAAGCCCAATGCAAAAAAATGAATTTCCCAAGTTTTACCCAAAAAGGTCAAAAATGCCCCCGGGCCCACGTGGTCAAAACCCGAGGTTCGAACCAAAACTCGATTACCCATTCCCCCACGAACCCAAATATGTAATTTGTTTTGAAATCGGACCTCAAATTGAGGTCCAAATCCCCAATTTTTGAAAAAAACCTAAGTTTTACCCAAAACACCCAATTTCCCCATTAAAATCTTTGATTTGAAGTTGAAATCATGTTAGAAGATGTTGAGGAGTGAAGAAAATGAGTTAGAAATCACTTACCAATCGTTTTGGAGAAGAAAGTTTGTTTGGAAAATCGCCTCTTATGTTTTGCGGTTTTGAAAAGTGTAAAATAACTGAAATTCCCGTTTATTTATACCCCTCTGAAGCTCCCTGTGCGGACCGCGCAAAAAGGACCGCGGCCGCACAGGCCTCCCTGAAGACCTGCAGATCATAGCCCTGTGCGGACTGCACAAAGCCGACCGCTGCCGCACGGCATCCACCGCGGACCGCGCAAGGGCGACCGCCGCCGCACGCGATTTCTCGCGGACCGCGCAAGAGGGTTCAGAGGCCTGCAATATTTCCTGAACCTGCAACATCTCATCTTTTAAGCCTAAGGCATCCCGGAGCCTACTCGAAACTCACCCGAGCCCTCAAAACTCTAATCCAGGTATACACACAACCTCAAAAATATCTTACGAACATATTCGTGTAATCAAATCACCAAAATAACATCATGAACATCGAATTAAACCTCAAGATCAATGACATTTCCAAAATCTCCTTTAAAACATCAAATTTTCATTTTAAGTCCGAAACACGTCAAACGACGTCCGTTTTCAACCAAACTTTACAAAAAGTGCTTAAATCATATATAGGACTTGTACCGGGCGCCGGAACAAAAATACGGGCCCGATACCATAGTCTTCTAATCAAATTTCATTTCCAATTTCCTTAATCGTTTTCAGAAAACAATTTCACACAAAAATTCATTTCTCGGGCTTGGGACCTCGAAATTGAATTCCGGGCATACGCCCAAGTCCCATATTTTCCTACGGACACTCCGGGACCGTCAAATTACGGGTCCGGTCCGTTTACCCAAAATATTGACCGAAGTCAAATTTATTCATTTTAATATCAAAATTTAGCATTTTTCTCATAGAATTCCTATTTAAGCTTTTCGGTTACGCGCCCGGATTGCGCACGCAAATCGAGGAAATCCTAAATGAGGTTTTCAAGGCCTCGGGAGTACAAAATGGTAAGGAAACAAGTGATGACCCTTTGGGTCGTCACATATTCATAAATAAGATGTTGTCACATTCACATCATGAATGGACCATAATCATCTATATGTGCTTTATAAAATCTCATGTCAAATCGATGACAAATATTACTTTCACAAAGTGAAGGATTATTTTGAGAATCCTTATCATTCTCATTATCACAATGATGACGATTATAATTTCGTCTATTGCCACGTCCACATCCATTGATACCTTCACGGTAATAATTTTGTCTTCTTTTAGACTTATCACATAGTGCTATCACATTCTCTTAAGGGAATGAGAATGGAGCAAATTCAATGGGACGGATTGTTACTTCTTATGCTTACGATCATACATGACTTTGATCATGGCAAGACATAGAAATTTTACCACTTCGGGTGGTTATAATTTCTTACAAACTCCATTAGAGTTGTAATCAAAATTTATTGTCTTTGCTTGTATTTAAAATCAAATTATAGAATAAAAGAGAAAAATACGGTAAAATGCCTACCATAAATCCAGAATTTAATCATGAAGAAAATTCATAGAACGATTGACAATCATTATGATCAATCCCAAAGCTTCTACTCAATTGGTTAGAGTCTCGTGCTGATAACGTATTATAAAACAATAAAAGAACAAGAGCAATATTGCAAAGAAAGAGAGGAAATTCTTATTGAATTTTTGGGGTTAATTACAATGGAATAGAACCCTCTATTTATAGGGAGAGGGTGACTTAGCCACCAAGTAATAATCCCTAGAATCTCTCTAAATATAGACATTCACCATAAATAAAATTCTATTTATAACTAAATCAAGGATTTTTATGAACATAATTGTAATTCAGTAGAATGAAGCAAGTAAACAATTCTTTCTTTTATAGAAAATTCCCAAGTTCCTTTTCATCATTTATACATTTATTCTCAAGCCGAGAAGAAACAATATCAACTTCAATAAATTTCAAGGCAAGCAATACAAGCAAGCGCAAATCATGCCGAGGTTGTACAACCCGATCCAAGAATATTTAAATTGTGCACTGCCAGAGGGTCGAATGGCGCGAACCATAGATGCATCTATTACCCCGCTCGCAAATCATACGTGCGGCGCGGTCAAATATAATTAAACACAACAAACAGTCAATCAACAGTCCATCAAGGAGCAATTATTCAAGGAAAAATAATTTCTCTTTTAAAAATCAAGGAACGATGTCCAGTCTTTTAGAAAATCATTATACACGTTCAATATGTTTTAAGAATTTTAAATTGACAACAATATTTCAATTATTGCAAGTAAAGCATGCTATTGGGTCCTAGACTACCGGACTTAAGCATAATAGTAGCTACGCATGGACTCTCGTCACCTCGTGCATACGTAGCCCCCACAATTAGAGCACATATTCAATTAATTCACCTATGGAGACAATTCCCTTTTACAAGGTTAGAAAGGAGACTCACCTCGCTCCGAAGCCTATATCCCAATTAAAGAACGCGCTCAAACCTCCAAATTGGAGCCGAACGATCCAAAAATATTCAAATAGAGTAAGAACTAGTCAATACATGCTCAAAAGTTCATATTCTACTTATTAAATCAATTTCCCAACCCTAAATGCAAGGTTCCTAAAACTCATCTTCGGGCCCAAGTGCCCAGATTCCGAAAATTTTTGAAGAAAGTTGTTAGCCATAACCTAAGGATCAAGAATATACGATTTTACTCCATTCCATAACAAATTTCGCGGTTAAATCTGGTTTTTATCAAACTCTAGGTTTTTCATCTATAACCCTTGATTTTCCCTAATTTTCACATGTTAATCTACCCATAATCTGTGTATTTAACTCATGTTGTGTAGAAATTACTTACCTCAAAGTTCTAGGTGAGAACCCTCTTCCGAAAGCTCCCAAAATCGCCCAAGAGATGAAAGGAAATGAGCTAAATGGTCTAAGTCTCAAAATTAATAGCTGGACACAGCCCTCTGATGTCGCATTTGCGACACCAGGTTCGCAAATATGAGGGTCACAAATGCAACAAAAGCCTCGCAAATGTGAAGCCTGGGCTTATGCTGCTATCGTCGCAAATGCGACCCAGGAGTCGCAATTGCGACTTCTGATGGGATCGCAAATGCGACAGAGTTATCGCAAATGTGAACTCTGCCTAGGTCAGGCTCATTCGCATTGCGAAGCCCTCCTCGCAAATGCAGTGGTCGCATTTGCAACCAAAACACCGCAAATGCGGCCATACCAGTACCAGCAATCCCATTTCTTAGCAAATCACTCCGAAGTTATCTCGGATCTCACCCGAGCCCCCGGGGCTCCAAACCAAACACCCACACAAGTCTAAAAACATAACACGGACTTGATCGAAGTCTCAAATCACATCAAATAATGCTAAAACCATGAATCGCACTCCAATTCAAGCTTAATGAACTTTAAGATTTCAAATTTCTACTTTCAATGTTTAAATCTATCAAATCACATCCGATTGACCTCAAATTTTGCACACAAGTCATATTCGACATTACGTACCTACTCCAACTTCCGGAATCGGAATCCGACCCCGATATCAAAAAGTCAACTCTCGGTCAAACTTCCCAAAAACCTTCAAATTTCTATCTTTAGCCAAATGACTCCAAAATGACCCACGGACCTCCGAATTCACTTCAGATCGCGCTCCCAATACCAGAATCACCACACAGAGCTATTACCAGACTCGGAATCCCAAACGAATTTCGATAACACTGAAATGCACTTCACCCCAAACTGATGATATTCTTCCAAAAATGCTAACTTCCACAATAGGTGTCGAAACGTTCCCGGGTCTTCCAAAACCCAGTCCGGACATACGACCAAGTCTGAAATCATCATACGAACCTGCTAGAACCTTCGAATCCCGATTGCGAGGTCGTTTACTCAAAATATCCAATCTCAATCAATTCTTTCAACTTAAAGCTTCCAAAATGAGAATTCCCTCTCCAAATCAACTCCGAACTTTCCGGAATTCAATTCCGACCATGCGTACAAGTCATAATACCTGAAGTGAAGCTACTCAGGGCTTCAAATCACTGAACGACGCGCTAGAGCTCAAAACGACAGGTTGGATCGTTACAATTGCTTTCATTTTCATCATTCAACAAGCCATGATGATATTTCTTTTTACTTCCTTATTTAACATTTTGAATATCTACAACAATATCAAGCTTGTCATTAATAACCTACAATAATGAAAACAATATATTATTGTACAAACAAAATCAACACCAAAATAAATTGCCAAACTAGTTAAATACCTTAACAGAGGTTTTAACATGTTTCTTCATCTTTTTTCGAATAGCTTTCATATTTTTCTTCATCTTTATCTTAAAATTAACATGATCTGCACGTATGATGTCTTCAACTTTGGCAGATACCCTCTGAAAAGAAAAGAAAAATGGTAAGAATTTCAACATCATAACACAGAAACATTCTTATCGAGTGTAAACACAATTCAAGAAGGCTAGAATATAATTCTGTATAGTAAATTATTAGAACTGAAAAACATAATGAAATAAAATATTTTATACTTATCCAGTATAATTTACTGGACAACACAGCCTACAGATGGCAGTCTTCCAGTATAATATACTGGATGAAATGAACTAGAAGGTGTGAAACTCCAGAAATAAATACTAGGGTATAAAGAAGAAAAATAATCAAAAGGACATATTATAAAAAAAAAAGGACAAATAATCATTCAACAAATTAATCACAAATAAAACAAAATTATAGTCTAAACAGAACTCATCCAGTATAACATACTGGACAACAAGCTTACACACGGCAGACTTCCTGTAAAATATACTGGAATCAAACAAAACTCAACTATAATATAATAATCATCCAGTATAACTTACTGGAAGACAAACATTCAAAGGACAGACTTCCAATCTAATATACTGGACAAAATTTTATTACTAAACTCTATAAACAAAAAACATAACCAAAAACCACACAGTATAAAAAACTGGGAAACAAGCCTTCAGAAAATAGATTTCCTGTATAATATAAGCCTTCAGAACATACTAGACAACAAGCTTAAAGACAGTAGACTTCCATTAAAAGATACTGAAATCAAACAAAACTCAAGTATTATATACTGGATCAAAGAGCATATAAAAAAAATACAAATTATCACTCAAAAAAAGTAATGACAAATAAAACAAAATTCTAGTCTAAACAAAACTCATCCAGTATAACATACTAGAGAAAAAGCTTACACACGGTAGGCGTCCCGTACTATATCATAAAATCATCTAGTATAACATACTGGAAGACAATCATTTACAGGACAGACTTCTAGTATAATATACTACACAAAATTTATTACTAAACTTGATAAATTTACTCATAGAGTATATTAGGCGTATCCAGTATAAACTAATCAAGTATATTATACTATAGAAGTATACTGTATGATATATTAAACTCATAAAGTATATTAAATTGATTGAGTTTTATAATTATCCAGTCATTATACTGCTCTAGTAAATTATACTAATTAAGTATATTCCACCCCCAGTAGAAAAAGCTGGAAAATAATACTTCTGAGAAACAATTCCAAGAATAATATACAGCAAACATAATTTTAAATGCAAGTTATTAGAACAAAAATCTAGTATACGATAGTAGAAATTAAAGAAAAGCAAGACTAAATAAAATCGGAGAAACAACTACTTACATGACAATGTCGCTAACATTAACTTTTGATGAAGGTTGGAGAAGATATGATTGATTCACCTTGAAAACCTTAAAGTTCTATTAAATAAACAGAAAGATAAACAATTAGATTAAAACAAAATATATGAGCACAAGTATATATTAAAAATTCACATACTATTAGCTTACACTTGCTTTATGTAACGACCCGACTGGTCGTTTTGAACAATTGCATCTGGTTCGGCAGTTTGAGCTCAAGAGCAGCTTCACATTATGTATATCGACTTATGTGCAGGGTTGGATTCAGTTTTCGGATGAATCGGAGTCGAATTGGAAAGAAGGAATATAGTGCTGGAAGCTTAAGCGGAGAGAAATTGATCGAAATTTTGACTTTTGGGTAAACGGCTCCAGAATGAGTTTTTGGATGATGTCAGTAGCTTCGTATGGTGATTTTGGACTTGGGTGTGTGTTCGGATTTGGGTTTGGAGGCCCGTAGGGTAATTTGAGGCATTTTGGTGAAAGTTGGAAAAGTTGAAGTTTGGAAAATGGAGAGGTTTGACTCATAGTTGACTTTTATATTATCGAGGTCGGAATGCGATTTCGAAAGTTGAAACAGCTCCGTTATGTCATTTGGGACTTGCCTGCAAAATTTGGTGTCGTTTGGAGTTGATTTGATATGGTTCGGATGCTTCGTTGCAATTCTAGTGGTTCTTGAAGTTCATAGTGATTTTCGTGCGTTGGGCATCTAATTCGTGGTCTTAGCGATGTTTGAAGTGATTTGAAAGAGGGGCTAAGTTCATATGATGTTATGGGATGTGTTGGTACATTTGGTTGAGGTTCCGGGGGTCTCGGATGAGTTTCGGGGTGAGTTTTGAGCGAGTTCGGACATTTCGGCACTCGGAAGTTGTTACGGATCGTGGGAGGACCGCGGTCAGCAGTGATATTTTGCTGCAACAGTGGAATTTTTGCGGTAGCAGAAAATGGTCCGCGGTCCGCGGTGAGGAAGAATCTGCAGGTGCACTGGTCTGACTTCGGAAGCCTATATCTTTTGATCTACAAGGAATTTTGAGATGATTCAAAAATGAAAGTTGTAGCCCTTCGTGTCTAGTTTCCAGGAAGGTAAAGAAATCACAATTTGGATATCCTTAGAGAAAGTTATGGCCAAAATACAAAAGCATGTCACTGCAGTCAACATTCTCCGCAGTAGCGGTGGATTTACTGCGGTCAGCGGTGGTTTTTTTTGCGGTCAGCAGTGATGAAAATCTGGGAGGTACACTATAAATACGAGGTTTAGGGTTTTATTTCATATTTTGATCTAGAAAGCTCGGATCTTGGCGATTTTTCAAAGGTTTTTCAAGAAATTCATCAGGGTAAGTGATTCTAACTCGGATTTGGCTAGAATACATGAATCTATCATTGAATTCATCATTTGATTCGTGATTTGGGATGGAATTTGGGAAAAATTATGAAATCTTTCAAAAATGTAAAATGATGATTTGAAGGACCAAATGGTATCGGAATTGGATAATTTTTGTATGGGTGAACTCGTATCAGAATGGGTATTCGATTTTTATAAATTTTGTCGGGTTCCGTGGTGCGAGCCCGGGGAGTTAACTTTTTGCAAATTGTATAAGAATCATAGTTTTGTTAATTGGAATTATTTTCTCTTGCATTGTTAGATGTATTCAAGTCGTTTTTGGCTAGATTGAGCCGAGCATTGATGAATTGAAAAAGGAAAAGCTAAATTGAGTATTAAATTGGCCGGATTGAGGTAAGTATCTTGCCTAACCTTGTGTGGGGGAATTCCCCTTAGGATTTTAGTCTTCTATGTTAATTGTAGTCCATGAATGCGAGGTGACGAGTGCGTGCTCAGACTTATTTGTGGAAAATTTGCCTAAAGGGTTCTTTGGTCCTTATGTTCATTATGTGGAAAGTATCCCGTTATGGTTGGGTTTCCTAATTGCTTAAATTGCCTCTATATTCTCCATATGATGTTATTAGCTTTCCTCTAATTCGTACGTGTTACTTGACCCTTAATTGCCTTAATTGAAGTGATTGTCTTCCTTATTGTTTTGATACTTCTTGAGTATGAGTTTCCTTTATGACTTCGTGTAAACATGCTACATGTCCAATTGTTGTGGTTACCGGTGTAGTTATCGCGTTCTTATTATGTCTGGTTGTTTTGTTGAGGTTATCGTGTTTCTTGGTTTTTCCGTGATCCTTATTATGTACTATTCTTGTTTAAATTGACGATTATTCATGTCGAATAAGACTTGTGACATTCTCTTGGAAATTGTCCATTGTTGAGTATTGACTCGAGTTGAGATCTATATTGCGAAGCTAACTGTTGAAACAAGATTGGTTATTGTTGATTCCCTTGCCGGGATGTTATTGTTTCTATTGTTAATTCCCTTGCCGGAATATTATTGTTTCTATTGTGATGTTGTCGATTCCCTTGCCAAATTGCTTGTGATTGTTGCTTGGGTGAGGAAGAGTGTAAAGCACGAAGGGTGATGCCGTGCATGATATTGTGAGAAAGAGTTAAAGCACGAAGGGTGATGCCGTGCACATTTCTATTTATGCACATTGTGAGGAAGAGTGATAAAGCACGAAGGGTGATGCCGTGCCGCACGATGTACCATTCCGTGCCTTTATATGAGTGATAATGCACGAAGGATCATTCTGTGCCATGATTATGTGAGGTAAAAGCACGAAAGGTGATGCCGTGCCAATTATATTGATTCTTATGGTGAGGACGAGAGTAAAAGCACGAAGGGTGATGCTGTGCACTTGTCCTTGATTTTCCTGATTCTTGCTGATAATTGAGTTATGGTGTTCTTTACGTTTATTCTATTGTGATGTTATTGATTCCCTTCCCCAAATTACTTGTGATTGTTGCTTGGGTGAGGAAGAGTGTAAAGCACGAAGGGTGATGACGTGCACGAATTTGTGAGAGAGTGTTAAAGCACGAAGAGTGATGACGTGCATGTTACTTGTGAGAGAGTGTTAAAGCACGAAGGGTGATGCCGTGCACTTTCTGTTTGCTATGATTATTTGTTGTTACCAATTCAAGTGTTTTAACTATTCAGATTCATTTACTGATGCGATCCTTTGTGATGGAACCCCATAGTGTTTTAAATACTTCGCTGTATTTATATGTATATTTTAATACTTCAAATTTCAATAATTATTTCATTTTTAATTCAATTAGTTACTCAATTAAATTCCCTTGTACCGTCTGAGGTTGTATTTTACCTTTAAAAAAAAAATTTCTACTAAGTTAATTTATTAAATCCCTTGTTAAAGGTAATAATTCATTCGGTGTTGTATTTTAATTGAAAATAATATTTTCTTTATTCAAATAATTTCTAAAAACAACTTCATCTTTTCTTGTTGAGTTCCTAATTTGGTTTAGAAGCTGTACTCTACTTCATATTATGTAAATGAGACTCCGTGAATATCTTAATTGCATTGGTTATGGACCCTATGTACTGAGTAACATAAGAACGTTGTTGTGCAAAGGGAGATAGAAATATGTGGGCACAAGGTGCCGGGTGTGCTAATGTTTGGTAATTGAGGTATGATATGAGACATCGAGTTTGAGATGCCTGGAATTGTGCACCGGAAATGATATGATTTATTGAGCTGACATCACCTTCCTTGTTTGAGTACATTTTTACTTGTTTGTGTTCCGGCTATGTTGGTGTTAATTTATTTGGTTATCTTTCGTTTCCATCTGTGTTTCCTTTTATTGTTTCTAGTGATTGTAGCTTGTTCTTTCCCTACTGTTGATATTACTTTGTCATCGTTAGGTTGATAGTTTATTATCTTATCCTGTTCAATTTATTTGACCAGTAGGTGTCTGGACTGTTACTCGTCACTACCCCACCGAGGTTAGTCTTGATACTTACTGGGCACCGTCGTGGTGTGCTCATACTACACTTCTGTACATTTTTGTGTACAGATCCAGGTATTTGATCGGTAGTAGCTCTGCGGGTCGTTGCAGTGGAGGCTCAAGGTAAACTTGCTACAGCGTTCGCAGGCCTCGGAGTCACCTTCATTTGTACTTATTTCCATTCGTTCCTGTTGTTTCGGAACAGTGTTATATTTATTTGGTATAACTAATCTTAGAAAGGCTTGTGACTTGTACCACCGGTTTTGGGAATTGTAATTTGTTCAGAGTAATTTAATTTAAAGTTATTAAATATCAATAAAATTTCAGTTAATGTTAGGCTTACCTAGTTTAGATACTAGGTGCCATCACGACTCTTTCGGAGGGATTTTGGGTCGTGACACTTTAGTAAAGAGATCATTGCAAAGTGTGTCATATTTTGGATATCCAATGTTGCGGTAAGACAACATCCTAATTGGCCCCCGATCCTCATATTTTGAAAATTGACGGAAATCATTAAACACTTTCATTATCCATACATTAAACAAAAATGGGAATCCAAGCGCCATATAAGATGCGATCCTACCAATTGGTTTCTTTTTCACTGACTCACTTGTTAGAAGATGAGACAAATTATAAATAAGCTCATCAAAACAGAAACTGCCCCATGGAAAAGAAGCACAAAGTTCTGCATCGTCTATGATTTTCATAGAACGATCACTTATATTTCTACTATGATCTTTATCCAAAAGAACAGCTTCTAATAGATAAATCTCAGCAAGCTTTAATGCATCTTCATCGCAGACCTCGACATCAACACATACATCATCTGCTGCACCAGCACGGAGTCGAGAACGCTTTTGCATAAATTTATACAAATTATCTACCTTCAAACCCTTTTTCACATCAGAGAAATACCATTCCTTCAAACGGTTCACTCTATACCCGGTAATATTATGGAAATCATCTTCTGTAAATGCTACGTCGTTCCCAAAAACTTTAAAAACCATTTTGCTTTTATCCTTGTAAAAAACTTGAGAAAGCAACATACAATGAGTCAACTTCCCAGAGTGACCCACTTCATTCAACTCTAAAAACTTCCCAAATACACCGTTCTTTAATTGATCCATTTGAGTTCCGCACAAAAAGGACGAAAATTAACCATAATATACAGAGACTAGAAAAATATTTGAAAAACTTATAAAAACAAATTACACAACGATTACAACATTACAACATAAAACTAATAACAGAGTGACCAGATTATCAGAAATAAGACAAACTAATGAACAGAGAAAAAATCGTAAAAGTTAAAATACCACAAATATTTAAACCCTAACGGTACGGAAATCAAACTTAAACCTAACGAAACAACAATAACAGCGAAAATTCAGACACATTATTGTAAAAGCAACACTCACCCAGATAATTTTGAAGAAAATTGGACCAAACCCAGACAAGATTCGAAGAAAAGTGCTTCATTAAAGCGAAATCCGTACATTGCTGTAAAAACAAAGAGAAGGCGATAAAAAGTAACTAAACAGTATGTTAAAAAGTTCAAGGGCAATTATGTCATTTATCAATATATTTTAAGTTAAAATGACTAGAAATCGATAACATTACCGATGGTGGCTATTTTTCGATAGCCAACCGTAAAAATGGCTACGCCATGCCATTTTCATATTTCCCGATTTATATCTACGAAAAGGAACAAGAACGTTATAGTGGCTGCTTATGTATGAGAAAAATCTCAAGGAAGATACTTTACATGTGATAATGGAGTCTGTCAATGGGCGATCAGCGGTGGCGTTATTTGATAGGTAACGGAGGCATTTGAACACCGAACCTCTGATTGCTGCAACTCTACTTGGTAATCCATTTTGGGTGAATTACTGATGAATTCTATTTTGGTTTAGACTACATTCAGTTGCTGCTCTGCTGGTCCACTTTTACATCTTGTACTTGGTATTCCTTGCCTACTAATACTAATGAATTTATCACCTTTTACCTGTAAGATAGGCACCATACAGTAGAGCATAGTGATCAACCCATATATTTGTAAACTTGCACTAAAATGACACACGGCAAAAAAACTACTGTATTCTAAGTATTATCCAACCATACCAAAGCAACTTCAGTCTATCGTACTCCGCGAGTTGCTAATTTTCTCACAAATTCTACACTATCCTTATTTTCTCCCCAGGGTATACATAATATCATGCCTCTTGCAGAATGAAGCTTCAAGAAAGGCTTGTACAAATTGGTTTCCTTATTTAGCAAAAAATGGAATTAAGCAAAATAATGTTAAATGAAATAATAATGTCTAATCCATATCTTTTGACAAACAATTGGACAAGTATTTGTATGTAAGGCCAAAAAATAAAAAAATACACACAGGTATATCGATCTTATATATATTACAGTGAGAAGTTCTACCCTGAGAAGACTTGCTGCTACCTGCAGCCTTTCAATAGGTAGGAGGAAGGACTTGAAAAGCTGTTGTTGCTCGTGCAAAAATTTTCAGTTTCCTTTCCCTTTCCAGGCGATCCGCATTCACTGAAATCAAGAGTACGCCTCTCACTCTGCAAATGAACAGATAATAGGAAAGTTATAAATTTCAGTTACATAACTCTCTTGACTAGGAATTTACAGAAGAGCAGCTTCCTATTTTTTATGCTTCAGGTCCACTTAGGCTAAGAAACTTTGAACATGTTATATTAAGAAAGACCAGGAAACTACAAGAAAGCTGTTACTCTAATCCAAATGCCTCATTTTCATTTTATATGGCGGTGATTGACTAGACACGAAGTTTAAGAAAGAAAGAGACTTGACACATACTGAAAGTACCCTTAGAGCTGTAGTCTAAAACTTGCCATGACATTTTTAAAGTCAAATTTTTTTCAAATATAGAAAGGTGTCATCCTTTTGGTACAATGAAAAAGGAAATAGTGTCATGTAAAGTGGAAAAAAGAGGGTATATTATTATTTCTACTCGAATAACAGTATTTGCCTTCAATTTCATTTTTACGGAGTTTTTTTTAAATAAAAACTGATGAGGAAAGAGATGTTAAATTTACTATATCTGAAAACACGTAATGAATTAGAATAGGATATTAAAAGTTTGTCGTTACTGCGCACAACAATGGGATTGGACATACCATAACATTTGCGGACAAAAGAGAGTGATTTTCATCTGCTTTCTGGTTTTTGGAGTTCCTCCCCCGTAGGATCGACTCTGGAGTTTCACCTCCCAAGACCTCCTGGGCGTCTGCAAATGCCCCTGCAGTCTGCTCACTCAATTGCTTCATTAATCCAATAGCATCATAGCTTCTGTCACCTGGGCTCATAAACAGCGCAAGATCCTACAAAGTTTCAAAGTACTTAAGTGTGAGCATGGAATTTCAACATATTAAAAGAGCAAACATAAAGATATTAGTCACACAATAGAACATATAATGTAATTTACTAAATCCTGCTTACCTCAAAATTAAGTTCATTATCAAGTCTTGGGCTTGACAGAAAAGAGTTGATGAACCATGGAGATTTCCAAGCTGAAGGAGATTCAATACTCCTTTTATAAGGTGTTTCTCCAGATCTGATAAGAATAGGGTCAATGGCAATTAAATTTGCAGGCCCAGAAATGAAACGTGGAAAGGATGAAGAGAAAACAAAGGAGAAAGCATAGGGTAAAATGCTTCAACGGTCTTACATGCTTACAGTCTCAGCGCCAACTCCATTTCCTGAAGTTTCAGCTGAGTTGTCCAAGGCTGTTTGTGCTGGAGCAGATTGCATTGATGTACTGATGACAAAACTACTTCCTTCTTTCTTTCCACGTATACGAGGAGAGCAAATAACAGAAAAACATGAAGTCTCAAATGAAGATGAAACAGAACCTTGATTTGATGCAGCTTCGAGTCGTCTAGCATACTGATTTCCTAGAGCTTTACTGCTGAGATTTGTAGTTCTACCAGACTTGGCTCCAAAACGATCAGGAGAGAAGAACAGGTCACTGGCATTCAGTTCAACCAGAACTCCAGAAGGTTGTTTTATCTGAAACAAGCAGAGCATAAAAGTTATATCCAATTAAAGGATTCTCTTTCTAAGAATTTGATCGGGTCTTACGAACATATCCGAATAAACATACGGTTGTCATAACCATATTAAAACTGTTGATGAATTTAAGCATCAACCGAAAATTAGATTGACTATAAACAAGATGTTACAGTATCTTGCAACAAGACTATAAGACTACAGCACCAGCACGACAGTCAGGATGCTTGAACAGAAAGGAAGGAATTCTCAACATAGAGCTCCAGTTTTTTGGTTGTATAAATTTTTCATTAAATTATTTTCGGATATTCATAATCGATTGGTAATGCTAAATACTGACACCACCACCATTCTCAGAAAACACAGAGTGGTGCCAAAGGAAAAAAATATGACTCAACTCACCTTTCCAATTGCACTATTGGCTCCACCCTTTGTGCCCTTCCTTGTTCCTTTCTCTTTATAGTGAACTTCACCTCCATCTAACTGTCTCTCGCTGGAAAGTCCATTACGTACCTTGTCATCCTCCTTACTTCCATCTTCAGTTGGATTTATGTTTTCTTTATCTTCAGATGAAGCTTGAAGTTCCAACGTCTGATCTGTAGTTAGAGAAGACTTTGTTGCTTTTTCATTTGCAGCCTCGTCAAACATAACATCTAGTCGAGAAAAATCCTTAGACAGATCAGAGAATGATTCTTGACGGAGATCACTTCCAAGCTTCTTTTCACATCTCCTTTCTGACAAAGGTGACACCAAATCACGGTGTCGCTTCTTTAATATGGAAGGCGTGCTGGTGAAAGTTTTGGCAGCACTTCTCAGGACGGCATCTGGACTTCCATCTCTAGATGGTGAATCCCACAGCCTAAATGGAGTAAGACAGTTCACAGAAGTCATCATCAACTGGCGGATGCCAAGAGGGCTGTACTCTTGCTGTGCATCTGCACCAGATTGTATAAGATCACAACTGAAAAATGGAATGTCCAAGCTCGGAAAACGAGGAGGCTCATAGTATAAGGCTCCTCCATCCTTCTGCTCTTCTGGTACGCTCGAATTTTCGTTCACCAATTGACATGTTTGAATAGTATTTGAAGGAGTTGAGCGAAAATCATTGACAGAAACTAGCTGTAGAGAATCTTTAGTTTGATCCAGTTGCTCTTCCAGGAGAGGATCGTCCATTATGTTGTCACAAGGAGTACCAGATTCAAAGGGATATAGAAAACCATCAGAGTTACTTGTGTGGGACTCCTGTGCTGGGTTTCCCTGCGATAGATTATGAAACTGATTTGCGGCAGTACCAAACATGAGTGAGCTTTGCTCTGAAGAAAACTGTGAAGGAATAGAAAATGGTTGACCGGATGAAGTTCCCATAACATGTGAACAGAGAGGGTTGCAGCAATTCTCTATAGACATATTTCCACCTTCAGAGATCTGATAGTTCGATGATTGGCAAATCAAAGAATCTGCAGTTTCATCAGCACCGTTCATACCAGTTTCAGAGGGAATGTATTGTGGAATTCCTGCCTCAGGGTATACCATCCCGCAACCCTCCACAGAGGTAAACATCTCATTGGGCTTATCTAAACCCACAACCATGCTTCCGACATTAGTCGTTTCATACTTCACTGCATTTTGCTGTGGAAAGGTAACCATTTCGTGATTCCCATTACTAGTTAAACACTGCATGAAGAGCCCTGAAGAATCCTGCATCAACTCCAGCGGAGAAATATTAGGTATGTCATCTGGATTAAACTGCCATTCTTTTCCCATGGATGCTGCCCAGTCATGTGAGAAGTTATGCTCCAGGAGCTTGGATTCGTCAAGTTCACTAGGCACTTCTGCCATTGAAAAGGTAATATCTTCAAAGGCTGGGGTATAGTATTCAGAGCATGGTGCTGAACTGGAGCTTGGGTCCTTCCTATAATTTGAATCCTCCAGCAACTTACCCTCCTCTCTTGTATGTACAAATGTGTTGCCCATGTCACTTGTAGACTGGGAACAGCCTGCAAGATTTGACCCTTGACTACATTCTGAAGCGTCCTCCATTTCGGTTCCTTCTTTACGAACACTGTCATCTTCACTACTC